AGCCGTCCATGGGGAGAGGGTCGGAACATCTGGGTGGGTGGGGGCGGGGCCCTCAGCTGCCCTTCAGGCCTCCCCAGGCCCAGTGGGCAGTCACCTCTCTTCTCGGTGGTCACCACCAGGGCCTCAGCGGCCTCGCCCCAGCCCTTGCGGGTCTGGGCGGTGATGCGGAACAGGTAGACCGACTCCGGCTTGAGGCCGGTGGCCGTGTACTGGCGGGCGCTGGGTGCCAGCACTTCCACGGAGGCCGTGTTGGCGGTGGTGGCGTTGAGCCGGTGTGTGATCTGGTAAGCTGGCGGGGGGAGAAGGAAGGACATGGGCTGAGCTAAGAAGCAGGACACGTGGCCCCCCAGATCCCTGAGAAAGGGTCATTCCTTCCTCGGCCACCCCAACGTCTGCAGGGGGACCACCCTGGCTGTGGTCCGTCTGTGTGAAGCCCCCTTGGTCACTCTTATGTCCTCAGCTGCCTGTGGGGAGTGTGCCAGCAGGGGAGGGGCATGGACATGGGCTCTATCCACAGTGTCTGTGACCCACTTAGCCTCAGGTGAGGAAAGGGAGGCCCAGAGAGGCCAGGCCACCTGCTAGGAAGTGACTGAACTGCAATTCCAACCCAGGTCATTCCAAGTCCAGTGCTCCTGCCTTTCCCTGTCTCCAGTCTGCCTTCTGAGGCACTGATGCATCTGATCTGCACGCCCCACACGCCGCTGGGGGCGGGGTAGCTCCTGTGAGCATGGCTTTGCTGAGCCAGCCAGGGCGCCCCCACCTGGTCATACATGGGAACAGCGGCTGAGGTTTACCAGATGGCCCCTACACTGGGGACCTGGGACTCTTGGGGGAACAAAGTTAAGGGTGAGTGAGCCCCGACCTTGACCTTGCCCTTGCCCTCCAGCTGCTAATCTTTTTATTAAAAAATATATTTTATTGATTTTTTACAGAGAGGAAGGGAGAGGGATAGAGAGTTAGAAACATCGATCAGCTGCCTCCTGCATGCCCCCTACTGGGGATGTGCCCGCAACCCAGGTACATGCCCTTGACCGGAATCGAACCCGGGACCCTTCAGTCCGCAGGCCGATGCTCTATCCACTGAGCCACACCGGTCAGGGCTCCAGCTGCTAATCTCACAGACGGAGCTTTCTGGTGGGAGAAACATGATCCAGACCTGTTCTTGAGGTGATGAGATGGGGGCACCTCCTGGCTGGTTTTCCTCCCGCCAACACCAATGTGCCTCCGTTACGCCTTATGCCTCCTCCTTCCTGTGGCCAGGGCACGGGAAGGGGAAAGGCTTACCGAGGATGATGCCGTTGGGGGCCGCGGGGGGCTGCCAGACCAGCCGCACGGACGTGGTCCTCACCTCTGGGAAGAGGATGCCCATGGGTGGCCCTGGGACTGGGGGGACAAAGAAGAAGCGGGTGACAGTGAGCGAAGCTGCTCCCCAGCCCTGAGCCGGGTCAGCTCTGGCAGAGCAGCATGGGATGGGGGGCACGCAGCTGGACAAACTCCACGGGGCGCTGCTCTGTGCCCGGCACCGTGTCCTCACACAGTGTCCGCACACGAAGATGCTGTCGGATGTCTCTACCCTCAACATGGGCATGGCTGGCAGGAACGAGGAGGGACCTTTAGCTTGGTCTGTGCACATGTGCACACATTAGGTCCCTGCCCTCAGTGCCGGGCAAGGAGGTCTGTGCCTTATTACTATTATTTTAAATATATATTTTTATTGATTTCAGAGAGGAAGGGAGAGGGCGAGAGAGAGAAACATCAATGATGAGAATCATCCATCGGCTGCCTCCTACACGCCCCCTACTAGGGACCAAGCCAGCAATCCGGGCATGAGCCCTGATCGGGAATCGAACTGTGGCCTCCTGGTTCATAGGTCAATGCTGAGCCACGCTGGTCAGGCAGGTCTGTGCTTTAGAAGGTACCACTCTGACTTCCTGCCCCCATGGGGTGAAGCAGCTGGGGGGAGGCGGAAGGGGACACGGCCACCCTGAGCCCACACCACTCCTCTTTCTAAACCTGGAATCCTCTGCCCAGAGAGGCCCAAGCCTGCTCGCAGGGTCTGCACAGGCCTGTCTCCCGGGCCCACCCCTGCAGACGTGCACCTCTGGATGGAGGGGTGGCTCTTTGGTGCATGCGGATGGAGGACTGAATGGCACGGGCTGGAGGAGAGGAAGGGAGAAGCCCTGGGGGTGGGGTGGGGGGGCACTCCTCATGTGATGCCTCAGTACACCCAGAAGTCTGAGGTTTCTAAACTTGAACCTGGCCTTCCAGGTCATATGAGGATATATTTGTCAAGGTAGGAGGACGTATTCAATTTAACAGCTCATTAGCTTGATTTATAACTCAGACTCTATGGACAGAGAGTGTTTGGGCTTCCTCTTGCATTCCTGTCTGGGCCCCACAGATGTCTGTGGGGGGTGGTCTGGGGGTACGTGTGTGAGGAAAGGGAGGGGCAGGGGACCTGTCCGCCTGCCTTTGCCACAGGGATGAATGCCCGGAGCCCCGTTGGCATCTCTCTTTTGCACACAGGACCAGGGGGCTCGTGCCCAGGGAAAATCAAGCCCTTCCCTCCCACAGGCCTCAACTCAAAGGCGAACCTGCCCAGGTGAACACGACATCAAAACAGGTGCACAAAGTCTCTATTCTGGACATTTGTCCCAGAGAGAGTTAGAGAGAGAGAGAGAGAGAGAGAGAGAGAGAGAGAGAGAGAGATATCAGATGTCAAACTGCCCCTGTGTGGTCCTTACAGAGGCGCAGTCTGTAATCAGCCTCCCCCCCAGGGGGTGGTGACCCCAGCAACTGGCTTCTCCTAGGAACAGCGGGTGACCCCAGAGGGGCGGGGGCAGGGACAGCACTCACCGTCATCCAGCGTCCGCTCCAGGACCGGGGGGCGGCTGGGGCTGCCGTCCCCGATGCGCGTGAAGGCCAGCACCTGGACCTCGTAGAGCACGTACTTGCCCAGGCCCGTGAGCTGGACGCTGAGGGACGCGTTCCCTTCCACCAGCCAGACCCGGGGCTGGGGGTCCGAGTCCTTCTCCCTGTACAGCACCTGCCGGAGCCCAGCGCCGGGTGAGGACCTCGCCTTGGCCTGCTCTGCCCTGCCAGCCCGGCTCCTAAGTCCCCTGCCCAGGGGCCGAGGGGCGGATGGAGCAGGTAGACTTGTGCTCCTTGCAGTGACTTGGCCCCAGGGAGGCATGGGGAACGGGGTGTGTGTGGGCGGGACCCAAAGACACACTCAGCCAGGGAGCTGGGAGTTTCCTTAGAGAGCACCCAGGTAGGAAAACAGGCCCAGAGAGGGCGTGTGACTTGCTCAAGGTCACACAGCCAGTAGTGGCAGAGCCAGGACCTGAAGGCACATCTCCCGACTTCCAGGCCAGGGCTGGACTAGGCAGGTAGGTTCGGCTTTGGGGAGGTATTCTAGAAGGTGATAGAAACTGATGCTGCGCCCATCGGAGCTGAGAGTGAGGCTTGGGGCTCCCACGTGGCCCCCTGGGGGAGGCAGAGCAGCCCCAAGGACCCCATGCCGTTCCTGGAAACCGCCCCCCGCCCAAACCCTAAGGGAGGACTCTGGTTGCCATGGCGACCGGTGGATGAGAAGCCAGACAGATCCCTTGTGCCCACTCTGGAGGCAGAGACTGAGCCCCAGGGGGCAGGGCACGCTGGATGGGGAGCCGGTAGAGAGCCTGGGCCTCCTCCCGACCCCGGAGCGGGACTCACCTTGTAGCCCAGCAGGAGCCCGTTGCGCTCGGCCTCGGGGACCGGGCTCCAGCGCACCAGCATGCTGCTGGAGGTGGTGGCCAGCGCAGACACGTTGGTGGGGCCCGAGGACGGGACTGAGGGAGAAAGGGGGCGAGGAGGATGGCGTCAGGACCTAAACAGGACCCTACAGTGGACAGGACGGGAGTGGGGCCCGGGGAGAAAACGGGGCTCAGTCCCCAAGGAGAGAATTTCCCTCTGTGATTCCTTCTGGCTGTGGCCCGTCACAGATGCTGTTTCTTCGGGTCAGCTGCCCCCTCCTCTGTCATGCTAACCGTGGGATGAGCCTGCATCTCCTTCCAGCACAGCGGGGAGGGCGGGCAGGGGCCGGGGTGGGAGGGACCTGTCATTTCCAAGGTGCCAGGACAAAGCCACAGGGAGGAAACCACACGTGGACAAACGAGGCGGCCTGTAGGCTGGGGGCTCAGGTTCTCTGGGTGACCCCCTGCCAGGCCCCTGTGAGCTGCTGGTTGTGTTTCTGGAATGTTCTGGGATATAAGCTACCCCCTATTCTATTTGGGGTCTGTGCCCCATTTTCTTCCCCAGACCCAACTCCACCCCCTAAGGCTCTTTCAGGCACCCTGGTGCCAGAGTTCAAGGTGAGGGCGTAGATGGGGGGGACGATGGGCACCGCGTGAGCAGCGGGAAGAGCCGTGAGGCAGGAGATATGCAGGGCTCTGCTGGGACGTGAGCACAAATAGAACCACTGCGCCAGGTTTGTGCCCTTGGGCAGACCTGAGGGCAAAGAGACCAAGGTGGGGGTGTCCCGGCCACAGACCCTGGGAAGCCACAGGGTGGCTGGCTCGAGGGGGCGGTACCTGACTCCCGCGTCCTGCCCATCACCATCTGGCTCCAGGGCCCGTTCCCGATGGCGTTGAAGGCCTGGACCTGGACGCGGTACTCCGTCCACTCCTCCAGGTCCTCGATGGTGTACTCCCGCTCCACACGGTCCAGGACCACATGGCTCAGCACCCTGCCGTGGCCGTCTGCCCGGCTGTATTTAATCTTGTAGCCCACCGACTCGGGGTTCCCGTTGTATTCCATCTCCGGGAGAGGCTGCAGGAGAGCAGGGGTGGGGCAGGACAGCTGTGAGGCCAGGCCCACCCTGGGTACAAAGAACTGCCTGTGCCTCCTCTTCCAGGGAGCTCCAGGATTACTCCCCCCACCCACCATCCTGAGATGGTGAAACTGCACTTCTGATGGCCCCCGTCTCCCTCTCTCTCCGCGCCAGGCTCCAAGGAGAGGCAGCACCCATTCCTTATTGTGCACGTGACAAATGCACCCCCACTAAGGGAGGCAGACCCGGGAGGCAGGCCCACCAAGGCTGTCTGCCCCACACACAGATGAGCAAGGCCCCGTTGGCCCTGGCTGCCCCTACCACTTGGCTCCCTCACCCAGGCTGCCCACGTGCACTTACTTATTGCCTACAACATGCCTGGCCTCGCTCATGCCTGCCCTGGAGACCCCTTCCCGCGTGTGGACGGGCACCAGTCACTGTCAGGAAGTCCCTCTGTCCAGCAACCCTCAGTCTCTCCTGCTGTATTTCAGACCCTTTCTTCTCATTTGCGTCTCCGTGAAGGGGAGAGATGTATTCCTTTCCTGGGCCTATGCCCTGGCTGGTGGGACTGTGGTCTCTGGCTCCAGGTCGTTTGGATAAACTTGGGCACTGCTGACACGCAGTAGAGGTGTATGCACGTTGGGGTAGCCGGGGATCAGAAGCCGGTGTCCGCCCGGGACCGCCCTTTAGATTCTCCTCTGAGGCTGGCAGAGATGAGCTGGGGAGCCCTCAGCCCTCCCCCTCCCCCCTTCTGCATTCCCAGGGGCTCCCCACAACTTAAGCCACCTTCTCCCATTCCCCGGCCTCACTCCCCACATCTTCCCTCCTGTCAGGCCCGCTCCTGGACACCCAGTGGAACAGACCAGAGACCACTGTACAGCCACTGGGGCCGGCCGTGTGCGCATGTCCCTTCCCTGCTGGGACGTGAGCTCAAACGGAACCACAGCTCCAGCTTTTGTGCCCTTGGGAGGTCCTGAGGGCCCTGAGTTTTGGGGCGCAGACTCCCCTACCAGGCTGCGGACAGGGCTCAAAGCCTGACTTTGAATAAAGCCTCCAGAACAGTTCCTGGCGAGAGGGAATGCCCTCAGCACGTCAGCATGATTTCCTCCTGCAGGGTCGCCTCGGGTAGGCATAACCCTGATCTGTGGGGACAGCCTGAGAGCCGCACCCTCCCCCTCAAACTCAGAAGCAGCCCTTACCTGACATCTGAACCCCAGACCCACCCCTGGGAGCTGTGTGGCTGTGGGTGAACTCCTAACCTCTCTGAGCCTCTGTTTTTTTAACTGCAAATTGGACTGATCATGTGTCCTTTGCGGGATTTCTGGGAGGATTAAATGGAATTAAAAATGCAAAAATGCTTGGCTCAGGGCAATGCCCAAGATGCAGCGTTTCCTAGCCCCCTCTCCTCACGCGGCACTTGCTAAGATCGCTGATCAGGCACCCTTCCAGGCTGGAGGTGGGAGAGAGAAAAGGGAGCTGTAGGTGCTTTGGGGGACACCCCCTTTGCTGTGGCCCCTTGGAGGCAATGGCACCTCTGCAGGTGATAAGGATGGAGGAGTCGTCCCGCCCACTGCCCTCGGGGAGCCTCACCGTCCAGCGGAGCCACAGGCTGGTCTCACTGGCCGTGCGCAGGGTCACGTTGGCCGGGGCCATGTCGGGGGGCGCCTGGAGGGTCTGGATCTTTCTAGAAGGCTGGCTGGGAGGGCTGGTGCCCACGATGTTCACCTGGCGCATGCGGAAGCTGGGGTGGGGGTGGGGATGAGCAGGATGGTGAGGGCAGGCCCCCGGGCCGGAGCCCGACCCCCTCTGGGCAGCCCTCCCCCTGCCTTCCCATTACCTGTAGTGGGTGAAGGGGTTGAGGTCGGGCACCTCCATGGAGCGGGCATCTGGTTCGTTGGTGAGCTGGTGAACCAGCAGCCACTCCTCTCCCTCCCCGACCACGCCCACCTGGCGAGGGAGACACCCTTAGACCTTCCCATCTGGGGGTCCACGGCAGGTGCTCTGAGCCCCGGCTTCTAAGAGGTACCAGCCCTGCCCAGGGAAGGTCCTGACTCAAACCCCAGGGCTCACCTGGAGGGCACCAGATGGGGCCACCATCTGTCCAGGCTCTTCAACGTGACTTCATGTGTGACCCCCCCGGCCTGCCTGCATCTGAGTCTCATGTTATAAACCCACTCCTGTGCCCCGCCCTTGACAGAGCCGATGATCCCTTAGGCTGGTACCCAGGAAGCTGCATTCAACAAGCCCCCTAGGTCCGTGGTCGGCAAACTGCGGCTTGCGAGCTACATGCGGCTCTTTGGCCCCTTGAGTGTGGCTCTTCCTAAGCCTTAGGAGTGCCCTAATTAAATTAATAACAATGTACCTACCTATATAGTTTAAGTTTAAAAAATGTGGCTCTGAAAATAAATTTCAGTCGTTGTACTGTTGATATTTGGCCCTGCTGACTAATGAGTTTGCTGACCACTGGCCTAGGTGACTCCCAGAACACCCTGGCAAGCTTCTAAAACCCCAGCTAGTCTGACCGGGTGTGGCTCAGGGGTTGAGCATTGACCTATGAACCAGGAGATCATGGTTCAATTCCTGGTCAGGACACATGCCTGGGTTGTGGGCTCAATTTCCAGTGTGGGGTGTACAGGAGGCAGCTGATCAATGATTCTCATCATTGATGTTTCTCTCTCTCCCTTCCTCTCTGAAATCAATAAAAATATGTTTAAAAAACAAGTAAATAAAAGGCAGCCACCCT